GATTAAATCCATTACAATTTATAAATAGTGTTTTAGTAAAATATTAATTATAGTAGATTTTAATAAATCCATAAAACTATATAAGATATTTTAATAAATGACCCTTTTCTATTATTTAATAAGGATGGCTAGCTCAATATCATGTGTCGTCTGTCATCTGGTGAATACTTGGATGTTTGGCCTGGGCTTGAAAATCAAGCCTGGTTTATGTTTGGGCTACCTAGACTTAGTCTCCACCACACAGTATATTGGAGTTGGCCCAGATCCATCGTTACGTCAAAGTCTTCAGTAGGCCAAAGTAATTGTAATTCCATCAAAACCCATATCTTTCTCGTGGTGGACCCTTGAAAGGTGGCTCACACAAATTTTCTTCTTTACTATTTTTGTTTTACTTGCAGGACCTTTTATTATTATTGTTATCCCCTTTTTCATTGGATTTGGATGCCAGTTTAATAAACCATCTAAATCAATGCTTGCTCAACAAAGGAGTCGGTGGTCAAGCTAGCTTCTTAATATACATACCTACCTCTAACTTTACTTAAATGTTTTATCTTTAACCAATTTTATATTCCTCTTGCTTTAACGGTAAAAATGTTATTAACTTTTCTCCCACTATGGATTTTTCACGAACACAAATTGTGTAATATTAGTATTTGCATCCCTTCTTTTTTCCATTATAGGCTTAATTATCAGTCAAACTGTTAAACCGAGCACCATTCATGAGTGATGAGGCAAATTCTGGTGTGAGTTGAAAACGGCAAAGTAAACCTTCAACTCAAGACTTAAGATCGACTACTTTTAATTTGCAGAGAACCAACATAAATGGCTTCCCATTCAACCGTAAATTAAACCGAAACTAGGGCTCTGACATAGATGATGATATGATCCACTGGTCATGAACTTGAAAATTTTTTATCCTCCTGGATTGGAGTTTAACACGGTACTAATCTTTGATTTGAACGCCAACTACCTTTCACAGATGGGGTATCCCATCTTAATCACAGACTGGATCTAGTAGGCACAATATAGGAAGTATATTCAGTGAGCACTTATAAATATTTTGACATCTGTTAAAAGTTGTCTTTAATCTTTTTCAAGAGTAAGTTGAAGGTATTTTAAAGAACAGGTGTCAAAAAAAATTTGAAAATGCTCATTTAACGTGCTTAAAATGTAGTGTCTACCTGATCCGGACTCTCTTAATCAAAGCAACTACAATAATGGACTGAATGACTATATAACAATGTTTTAAAATTCCATTCGGGACTGAAATCGCTTTGGCCATTGATTTCTGAGCCAGTGGTTCAACCATCTGATCTGAACTAATAGTCCATTGCAAGTTTTAAAAAATAACTAATTAGAATAATTAAAATAAAAATGGTCAAAACTGTTTTCTTGATTGAACTGATCAACAATTTAATCATCTAGGTCAATAGGTCATTGACCAAGTCAATAGTTTTAAGCAAAACAACAATTTGGGGGTAAAAATGAAACCAGTTATTTGAATGATTTATTCAGCCCCTCCGTCCAATTAAGTCAATGACAATTTGAAAACCATGTCATATAGTATATACTCCCAAGGATATTAATGGCTGATTTCAGACAAGCATCAAATTAAGGAGACCCTCAAATCAAATACAAATTTATTATTATTATATATTTTTTTTAATTTTAACTTTTAAGGCACCTAAATCATAAGAGTGTTGGGTCTTATTAAGGTGGCGTTTGATAACACTTTTTAGACGTCTGAGGTCTGAAATTGCCACTTTTCAGACCTCAGACTCGTTTGGTGTCTCCTCTTGAGATCTGAAAATGATAGCGTGCAGGCCAGTTCTTAACGCACTTAGACGCATTTCAAAGTCGATGCATTGTCTAAATTACCCTTCAACTCTTTTCAAAATGACATGCCTTACCCCTATTTAACCCCAACCCAAAAAATCTAGGTCATTCCTATTTTTGCTCTCAGGGATGGTAAGGAAGAATGCCACTTGTGAATCCAAACTCCAAGTAGGTTTTCATTGTCACAATTTATCACCTTTTTCTTTTTCTTTTTCTTTTTCTTTTTCTTTCCAACCTCTCTCTCTCTCTCTCTCTCTCTCTTCTTGTCTTCATACAACCGCCGCTGCAACTCTCAGTAGTGGCAGTTCTCTCTCTCTCTCTCTCGTCTTCCTACCACCGCCGCTGCAACTTCCAACGTCAGCGGTTGAGTAATAATAATAATAATAATAAATTATAATTTATTTTTACCAATTATTAATTATTAATTATCTTTATATTTTTATTAAATAATTATTATTTTTTGTTAATTTTACTTGTGTTATTTATTAATAATATTTTTATTAACTAGTAATTTTTAATTATTTCATTAATTTTTAAATATTATTTTAATTTTTATTGGTGTAAATTATTATTTATACAAGATTTGTAAAAGTTTCCCTTCATTTCCTTTCCTTTCCCTACATTTTCCTTCAAACCAAACATAGCCTTAGTGTCTCCTAACTACTAGCAGATCCGATTCCTAAAAAAGATTATTCTTCCTATCCTACAATGATGCAACAGGCCAGTCCCCCTCTTGACCTAGAGATGTAACGGGCGGCACGAACTTCGACTAGCCCGGCACGACGGTCTGCGGGTCGTGCCAAGCCCAACACCATCATGCGGGCCATGTTGGGCCTGGGGTTTTAGGTCCACGGGATGGCATGGCATGACACGACCGAGCAGACCAGCACGGCCCAGCCCGTAGCCCAGCCCTCGACACGGCCCATATATATATTTTATACATATTTTATATATATTTATGTATATTATACATATTTTTATATAATTTTATATATTTATATAATATTATATAAATTATAATTATATAATAATATATAGTATATAATATATTAATAAAATAAATAATTTTTTAATTTTATTATACCAATTTATTTAATTATTGTATATATAAGCAATTGTATACACAAAACTCATATAAAATTAAAATTTTAAGTTTTTTTATCAATTTTTTAAATAAATAGCTTTGGCTCGATGCATGACCCGACTTAGCCCAAGGCTCAGCCCACAGGCCAACCCGGTCCATGGCACGACATGGGCCCGCACAGGCCTGGGCGATGGGACATGCCAGGCTGACCCCCAAATTTTTCACCGAAGAGGGTGGCACGGCCCGTAACGACCCACGAGCCATACTGTGCCAGCCCAACACTGCCCACTTTACACCTCTATCTTTGCCTGCACCCGCATTACACGAAGAATACTAACAAAAAATCTGCATGATTTACGTTATTATTTAATAATGATCTTTATCATTATGATTGTTGTTGTTTCTCCTCTATATCCCTGTTATATCGAGAATAAAAAGGAGGCCAAGAGTTCAGACTGTGTTTGATTTTAAAGAAAAGGTAGAGAGAGTAAGGAAAAGCTATACAAGGTACTTTACCTACCTTTTCTTTCAAACCAAACACACCTTGATGTTCACATCGTCTTCCCTCTTCTCTCATTTCTCATCCATGTGGTTAATTTTTTTAACATTTTGACTATGATGCCAAAAAAACATGATACTAGAAAGACTTACAATCAATCAACTACCACCATAAAACCTAGAATCAATCATGGTGTTAGACAATGGGGGTAGTGTTCGGGTTGTGTTTGAACTAGCTGATGTCATCACGTGTCAGTCTTTGTGGCCAACCTCCTCAGACCACGACAGTACCGCTCAATGCAGCTACACCAGGAGAAGGCACACTAAGTAGATAGAATCCTATACGGACAAGGAAACAAACCTCACCGAGGAAAGGGAACCTCCTGAGAACCTCAGTGGGAGATCTCATCCCAGCAACCCCATGAACCTTATCCGACTATAACATGGATGTTCATCTACATAAAAGCATCTCCCCTCAACCTACTTCAGCACCGTTTGCATTCACCCCGGTCTGAACTAGCCTATTCTCCTCACCTCATCTAATTGGCAGAACTATCTGACTATATCCAAAATATCTCGAATCAGAAAACATCAGGTAACCCATCTTGGAAACCCATAACCCCCAAACCTAGTATAGGCAAAATTGATCACCATCACCACCTATCTCTCTTTCTCTCATTAAATCATTCCCTTCCGCTTAAATCTCTTTCAACCCTTGGCTTCTCGTCAAGGGCCAACCAGACCTGAACATGGACCATAGTCCAAATCCAAAGGTGTGTCGAAACCTAAAATTGCCAACCCATGCCTAACCAAATTTTCATTCAACCCCCGGATTTACTTGTTTGCTAATAATCTTCTCGAAACTCAAAATGGTATAAAGTAATTAACGAAGTCAAATCTTCAAGTTCCCGGTAGGGACCTGAATCCCGAATGCCAAAATAAATCAAAATGAAATCTGACTCCGGGTCAAACAATCCAACTCAAATTAAGAAAATCAGACTCTGGATGTATTTAAATTGTAAATTACAGAAATCTTAATGGTCAACTAGTTCAAAATTGCCCAACCAGCTTGACTTCATTAGCGAGCATGCTAGTTCTTAATATGTAAGCTTCCATAGTTGAATTTCACGACTTTTTTTATTCTAAAATAATTCAGTTGAATGTTCTTTGCAGCATGAAGTTACCTGACCAAGCAACAAACGTGGACAGATTTACTACTCACTTTCTCTACCCGCACCATACCCATAGTACATTGCAGCCGCACATCTATGGCGATGTGTGGCTGCAATTCAAGGCGGGTAGAGTGTGGGTCGAGAGATCACCTGAACCTTGCAGACCATGATTTGCAGCTGAGAGACTAAAAGAGTAAACCATGATTAATTAATTCAAGGCGGGTAGAGTGTGGGTCGAGAGATCACCCGAACCTTGCAGGCCATGACTTACAGCTGAGAGACTAAACGAGTAAACCATGATTAATTATTAGCTAATCTTAAACTAAGAATCTTAGACGTTATCTTCGCACTAGCTTAAAATTTTAAATAATTACGACTCAGACAATGTGCTAACTTCACTAACACTTCTCCTCATTTTTCGTTGCTCCTACCAGTATTTTTTGGCTTATAATTCGCAGATTTGCAGTAACCTTTATGTTGTAAATCTTACGATAAACGTTTTCATCATATCCGAGAAACCCATATTTCCAGATATCACAATTTTTCATTGTAAAGTAAATGACCGTCATCTTCTCAAATCTTATTTTCTTTCGGGTTAATTTTCCTATTGTTGATCTTCATTCTTCGCATTAGTTTGTCATCCTGGAGCTCAAATCCACCGATGCTTCGCTAGCTAGGCCGGCCTGGAAACAATTCTGGAAGTTTCTCTTTTTTATTTTACATGCTTGCAAAACCCGAATCAAGGTAAGAGATCTCCAGGTCTTAATTCTTAATTTTCGTTTTCCTTTTTCTGGTTAAGAAGAAAATGAAGATTGAGTTTCAGGTAATGATGGAGACTTGGATCAGTTTGGTGGTGAACTGCTAATGAAATTCGAGCCTGAACTAAACAAAGTTCACTAACAAGTAAATATACATCCCACATTAAGGACGAAAACCAGAGCATAAGAGAGAGAGAGAGAATATGCAGAGGTTACTCAGAACATTCCGGAAAATAAGTGGGGTCTTCCACCAGCAATATTCAAGCACAGTATACCGGCCATTGAAGAAGGGGCCTTCGACAACCACTTTAATCTTCCTCTTCTTCGTTCTCTTCATCGGCGCCTTTATTTCTGCCCGCTGGATCGACGCTGTAAGTCTCCTTTAATCCATTAATGGCTTTTCAGATATTTTTTTCCTATCTTTTCATTCGATTAAGTCCAAAACAAGGGTGGTCATGACTCAGTTTGGAAGGAGTACAAATATAAATCTGTACACTATAAAAATAATATAAAATACAAAGTTTTACTTTTACACTCCACATATTTGTATTTATAATTTTGTACTCCTTCCAAAACTGTTCGATCAATCGTGAAAAGAGCAGTATTGCAACGAAGATGCCCCCTCGTCATAAGACAAGCACTCTTCTCTCTAGTCTCTAGTAGTCATGTATTTAGGTAATTAGAAGAATATGGGATGAACTATCGATGAATGGCACCGACCTATGCAAAGGGTGTCCATGCAAGAATTCAACAGTGACATAATATGATTTGGAGACCATGGTTTTGTATCAGTACAAATTTATTTGCATTGCAACCAAACACAAACTTTAAGAAGGGTCGAGGAAGGTTAAAAGCCTAAAACCTCGTGGTAGCAAAAGCGAACACGCCTTTGTTAATTTGTAACTCATCGGCTCATCCCGTTCAGAAAATCAGAGAAGGATCATTCCCTCCTTTTCAGAAGGAAGCGGAAGTGAAATAGCCAAATAGGGGTTGATCTGACTTTACATGTATTCATTTTCATCGTCCATGTCAGCCCCATTATACGCTCTGATTCATAAGGGTACTGACTTTAACAATTGAATCTTTTATTTTAGTTCAGAAATATTTCAAAAGAAGAGTTTAATTGGATACGTGAGGCAGTGGCTTACTCATTCAAGCTTATCCGATAAACCACTTTGACTAGGCTACGTACCCATGCCTACATTCCTTTTTGTCTTCTTTTCAAGAAAAACAAAAAAGAATAAAATGGAAAATGGTTTTAATACGGGTCTTGGTCTTCTTGGAGGTGCTGGCAATGTGTTGTTTCAGTTAGGAAATTTTGGTTTTGAAAACTACACAACCCTAACTAAATCCATCAAACTACTCAATCTGTTGTCCATGAGTTTTTTAATTATTATAAATGTATTGGGATTCGGGTTCTATGGGTGGATCCAACTTCCAACTTGTTATTGAACCAAGGTAAACCCTTACTTCATTGTTTCTGAAATGCATTGTTCAATTTGGTTCTAAAACACAAAATATTGTATATTTTGTAACACATCAAAATCTTGTATTTTACAACATGTGTTCAAAAAATATTGGTTTTTAATATTATTTTGATAAAAAAAAAACATTTATATTTCAGATCCCAGTGCTTTAAAACACACCACACCATCATATTAGTGGTGATCATTTTCGGCCTAATCTGGCCCAGCCTAAAAATTCAATGGTAAAATACAAAAATCTTTTCTGAAGTTTTTGGCAATCATAAAAATCTCCCCTCTATTTTTGAAAAATTGCACTGATTATGATCAAGACGGAAAAAGTTAAACGGATGATCAATATTTTCAAATGCCTATTTTACCTTTTGCAAATTAGTTTACATCTCTTGATTCACTTATGCTTAAAAAATCAGTACCTTCATAATTTAATCCTTGAAAGGACTAACTTAATCCATGCAATTTATGTTCCAAAGAGCTCATTAAATATAGTCTTCAGCTTGACAGCTTGAGTCTCCCCCCGCCACCCCCAATCCAGCCAGAAATTTTTCAGCTCCAACCAGCTTCCATGGCTTCATCCCGTCTCAAAACATTTCTACTCATGGGCTGTCAGCTCCTCATCTTCTTCTTCTACTGCTCCTTTAGATACCCATTTGGTTTCTATAAAATCTGTCTGCAAATCCACACTATACCCAGATGACTGCTTCGACTCGTTGAAGCTCCCCATTTCATTCGATATCAATATCATTCCAAACATCCTTAACTACCTTCTTCAGACGCTACAGATTGCAATGTCAGAAGTCGGCAAGGTCTTGGATCTCTTCTCCACCATTGGAGACTCGGGCGTTGTTGAAAAGCAACGGAGGATCCATCAGAGACTGCTAGGAGCTCCACCAAATTACAATCACTTCTCTGCAGAGATCCATGTTCTGGATCCAGTCAGACGATGACCATAAGCTATCCGATGCTAGAGCCTTCCTAAGTGCAGCTCTCACCAACAAGAACACCTGCTTGGAGGGCCTTGATTCTACAACAGGTCCTCTGAAACCAGTCTTAGTCCAGTCTGTCATCAGATCTTACAAACATATTAGTAATTCACTCTTCACTTTTGCCTAAGCCAGTCCCACAGAAAATGGAAGGTGGGTCGAACAGGTGCCTCATGGGCTTCCCCCGTCTTGGTTGTCCCCGAGAATCGCCGGATATTGCAGAGCTCCAGCGGAGATTACAATCCAAGCAACAAAACTACAGTGGCTAAAGACGGTACCAGAAACTTCACCACCATTATTGTTGCCATTAATTTTTCAAAAATAAAGGAGAGGTGTTTTGTATTTTACCCAAAATTCAAACTTAAGCATAGGTTTTATTATGTTCAGCTTAGGCCTAACTTTTGGGCTGCATCAATTTCAGGGCCAGGCTTGGGCCTTGGTTTTGTAGAGCATTAATTCGAAGAACATTAAGTTTAATTGAATGCTAATTAATTAACCCTTTCCTTCTTGTTTGTCCACTAATTTACCTCCCAGTGCTAATGGCATTCACAAAGAAGAGCTTAATTATGTACAGTACATTGGCAGTTGTGTGTTAATTATGATCAATTGTTTTTGCAGTCATCCGGCGCAGGCGGTTCAACGCTGAAGGCCCTAGTAGCATTCACACCCTCCAGAAATAGACTTGATGAAATCCCACTCAACTGCTCAGCTGCAAATATAACACAAACTTGCTCCGTAGGTTATGGGGAAAAATTTGAGCAATCATCATCAACTGAGGTATGCCCAGAATATTTCCGTTGGATCCACGAAGATCTACGGGTATGGAAGGAAACTGGAATCTCAAAGGAGATGGTGGAGGGAGCAAAAAGGTCTGCGTTCTTTAGGCTAACGATTGTGAATGGGACAGCTTACACGGAGAAATATAGAAATATAGTAGAAGGAAGAGATGTTTTTACATTGTGGGGGATCCTACAACTTATGAGGAGGTACCCGGGAAGGCTGCCAGACTTGGATCTGATGTTCAACGTCGGTGACAAACCAGTTATCAGGTCACGACCCAAGGACGGAGCTCCACCACCTTTATTTCATTATTGCGGAGATAACTGGTCATTCGATATCGTCTTCCCTGATTGGTCCTTCTGGGGTTGGTAAAACAACATCTTCCTACTTCCTAACTATTTCCATTTTCCTTTTGTTCCAACTTCCAAGCCCATATAGGGTCCATTTATCGTAGCTGTGGGCCATGGGCCAGGCGACCATGAGTTTTTTACTTATAAGCCCATCACCGATCACCGTTACGTTAAGGTTGGATACTTGTGCAGGCCAGAGATCAATATAAAGCCATGGGAACCCTTGTTGAAAGACTTGAAAGAAGGCAACGAAAGGACCAAATGGGTTGAGAGGGAACCTTATGCTTACTGGAAAGGGAACCCGGCCATGTCCAAAGGCAGAAGAGAACTCGTGAACTGCAATGTATCAGACAAACAGGATTGGAACGGCCGAATTTATAAGCAGGTACCCATGACTAACTATGAATGGAATTTATAGTTCTGATATAAAATTGCTTGCACTCTATAATTAAACATATTTGCAGGATTGGATCCGTGAATCTCAACAAGGTTACAAACAGTCAAATTTAGCAAACCAATGCACTCACAGGTTAGAGAAAGATGTACAAATTTGTTTCGACTTGTAATTTAATCCCTACAACTTTTTCTTTTTTTTTTTTTTTTAGTTGACGATCTTAATTCTGTCAATGCATAGATACAAGATTTATATTGAAGGGATCGCTTGGTCAGTCAGCCAGAAATACATTCTGGCCTGCGATTCTGTCACATTGATAATCAAGCCTCAATACTATGACTTCTTCACAAGAAATCTGGTACCCCTGCATCACTATTGGCCAATGAGAGACGAGGACAAGTGCAGATCTATGAAGTTCGCCGTGGACTGGGGCAATAATCACACACAAGAGGTGTCATCAACTGGGCTATTACTCTAATTAATTAATTAACTATATGAATCATCACTCAATTCAATGGCTAATATTATTCTTATTTTTGCCTTAAAATTAATACCTGCAGGCACAGGCCATTGGTAAGGCAGCGAGTGACTTCATTCAAGAAGAGCTAAAGATGGATTATGTGTATGATTACGTGTTTCATCTGTTGAATGAATATGCCAAGCTCTTGACCTATAAACCCGTTGTTCCTCCAAACGCCGTAGAGCTATGTCCAGAGATAATGGCCTGCTCTGCAGATGGATTAAAGAAGAAATTCATGATGGAATCCATGGTGAAGTCTCCTGCCGTTAGAGGCCCTTGCACCCTGACACCTTCTGACCCTGCACATCTTCAAGCTTTCGTTAAGGAGAAGGAAGATACAATTAAGCAAGTGGAGACGTGGGAGAATAAATTTTGGGACAATCAAACACAATAAGCTCTACAGCTTCTCTTTTTTCATGCTTTACTTTTTAATTAATTCATAAACTGCATGTATGGTTTTTAAGTTGAGATTCCTATTCCTATATAGCTCAACTCAATTACTGCCTTGTATTGTAGACAACATATCCCGATATCCATGACAAATAAAGAGCTTCTTTCGTGTCTTTTCGCGTTTGGTCCTTCACTAAACTTTTATTCGTTTTTTTCTCTTCTAAATCTGTAAAGCTGTATATGCCAACTAGTGGGGCTTTGTTAAAAATTTTGAGGCAAAAAGATTTAGGGGTGCAGTTTGGATAGGCCCAACCTGAACCTGATCCAGTTCAACTCGAGTTTAATTCAACATCTTGGGTTGGGCATATTGAGTTTTGTAGTCCAATTTTTGGTTAGAATATATTGATAATATACAGATATGTATATCATAAAACGTCAGAGGTGGGCTGAAATTGGGTCAGATTGGTCTCGGGCTATCCGGGGCTTTATCCCAAGCCAAACATGAGTTTAGATTACGCTTAATTTTTTTTTGCCTAAACCAGCTTGAAGTTCGAAAACTCAAGCCCAACTTGTGCAAAGCTTTGGTTGAGCAGGCTCAGGTTGGACCTAGCCAAGTTGCACCCCTAGCTCCTCTTGCCTCAAATTCTTTTAACAAAACCCATGCATCATTCAGTTCCCCGTTAGTTTTTCATAAATTTACTCTAACTTTTGATAATTTTCAATAAATAAAGATTAAAAGTAAGAAAATAACAGTAAATTACAATAAAAATTAAGTATTAAAACAACAATATATTATACTAGTTTTTTATTATTTTCAATCATTAAAACTCAAAAAATAACAGTAAATTACAATAAAAAATTAGATATTAAATAGCAATAAAGTATACCAATTTTTGATAATTTTCAAAAATTATCAAAATCGAGCTTTCCTAACAAAACACACTCCTTCTATCTTCATCAACAATGTGACGTGGAATAGACTGCTGCTGAGTGGCAGTTTGAGATTGGTGGGAAGGGGGGAGAGAGATAATTAAGGAAATGTCAGTATGAGGAGTTTGGAGTAAGGATTAAGGAGAAGCATGGTGACATGGACTGTTTCACTATATATATAGATAGATTTTTGGTCCTTGGCTAAAAACCGATCTAAAACCAGAACTGCTTTGGCCCTAATTTCTGGATTAGCAGTTTAACTGTTCTGTGAGGTCGAAACAGAACCATAATCAGTTCCTAAGCCAAACGTTCCAACCGTCTTGAATATTCAGCAACAGTTCAAAAACCATGAATCCAAGATGAAAGGATGACATGGACTAGGCTTAAAAATTTTCGTTTCCAGTTAGGCCCAGCCCAGCTCAATGATCATGTTATTATGTAAAAGATAGAAATAGAATAATCTGCTTGCAAATTAGTGTTTTGTTTTCTTTTTATAAATCTCAATAGCTTTGTGGTGACAAAAAAAAGTATTTGATTTACAACTTATTTCTTTTCGTTTGATATTTTTTTGTCTAATTATTTTATTTATATTAATTTTTAAATAGCTAACAATAGCACTCCATACTCATATATAGAAATAGCAATTTTCACCCTACCCGATAGATATACCTGCTGTCCTCTTGAGGCGAGATTTTTTCTTCTCATATGAAAAACAAATTTCAAGGTGGAGACAGATTTAAGGATTTTATAATCCATACAAATATAGTATTAAGCTAAACCTGACCCTCCCCATTTTTATTGATTTGTGTCTGAAAATTTGTATATTATGAATTTAAGCATTACATATTGGACATTGATATTTTTATTCAAAGCTTATGAATGTACTTATTATGTGTTGGACTTAATAATGTGTTGAATCTTATGCGAAGATTAATTGATAATTTAGTATTTTTTTATATATTTCAATTAAATAATTGAAATTTTGGATAATTTTTTTATGTTATTTTACATATTTGTTATTTTATATTCATCGTGCCCCATCCTCAAATACAAAAAGGATAAGGTTAGGAAGGATTTTGTATTTTTTATATTTTAGATTCTGAAAATTCAAATGGTATTGGTGACAGTACGGGTTGAAAAGTTTTGAAAGACAGCTGGTCTAAAAGGCTTAACAACACAGAGGCAGTTACAGCCAATCAATCATGCCGACACATGGTTTGGGCTTTGGGACAATCTCTTAGCTTTAATGCATTCAATGATCGAAGCTATCTGACCTTTGGGGCAATCTCGTAGTTCAATGCATTCAATGATCGAAGCTATCTGACCCAGTCGTCTCTACTATTTTTTGTACCCTAATATTAATAAAAGTAATATTTTTAATAAAAGCTATCCCGTCGTCTCTACTATTTTGTGTATATTAATATTAATAAAAATAATATTTTTAATAAAATTTTAAAAATAGGTTAATATTTTAAAAATAATATCAAATATGAGTAAAAACATTGTTCTTTTTCTTCTTCTTGCAATTATTCATTAGTATCGTCGCCCGCCATCATTTCCGACAATACCTTCACCTATTTCCACCGCCTCCGCCCACCTACACCTCCGCCTCTAACCAATGCTGCCACTTCTGCCTCTACCTCCGGAGGTTCTTAGAGTGACGCTACAAAAGCCCCCGGTCAATAATAAGGTCCCAGTATGTGCTTCCTGCTACTGAAATGGCTAAAGTCGTCACCGTCAGGATTTTCCAAATCTCTACCTCTTGCAAGCTGTAAGCCGTTCTCATGACGATGACCACAATCGTCGATAGGTACTTGAGCGCATTGTATGCTTGCATTCAGTCTTTTTCTTCGTAAAAGCATCGAGCACACTAATTAAATTTAAATATATAGCTTCAAAATGTCAAGTGTCGCCGCCCGCTGGCATTATATTGTGATCGGAAAATATAAAGAAACTACTAATGATGATTCTACAAGTTCAACTAAAATATATTGGGACAACAATAACCTACCTGAAAGAAGCGGCACCAGTATGGAATTACAGCCACAATGAAATAGAAAGTGTTGTACACGTTGCTGACGTTGCATTTGTGTTCTCTCTTTTTGTAGTTTCCCCAGCCATGGAAGTAGATGTACAGCTCCAGACTTCTGATTGCTTGGACCTGTCAAAACAAGCATAACAATGTACGCACCACTCGTTAATTAACCAATCGATCGAAAGATGTTATACTACTATTGTTTCAGATATCAAACTTGGCTGGTTAGCTGGTCGACCAAGAAAAAATCTGGGAGGGTAACTTGTAAGAGAAAAGAAAATTATCAAACACATTAACCTGTAAGAGAAAAGAAAATTATCAAACACATTCATGAATCATGATCATGAACCAAGCAATTCTTTGGTGTATACAAGTTTTCTTATTGGGTATATACCTTGTAGAGGGGAGCATAGAAGCAATGGAATGCACATTGGAGTAGGAAGAACATGGGCGGAGGCATTGCCGGAGGTGGACGAAGGCGGCGGAGGCGTTGTCAAAGGTTGCCGGAGGGGGCGGTTGGCGGCGGTGCTGATGAATGATTTGCAAGAGAAAGAAGAAGAATAGTGTTTTTGCCATTATTTGATATTATTTTTAAAAAATTAACCTAATTTTGAAATTTTATTAAAAGTATTACTTTTATTGATATTAGGGCCCAAAATTTGCCCTTATCAATATTACGAGATTCATAAAGCGACAACTAAACAATAGAAACACATAAGAGTATACAATTATTTTATATTTTTTATTTTTTAAATAATTAATAACTATTTATATTTTATATATTACTTTTAATAATTTTTTACAATAACTAACAGACCAACCCAACTAACTCGACTCAAGTTGGTTAGTTTTCTAATATTTCCAATCGGATTTGGTTCAACAATTTTCCAACCTGACTAGGTTGGATCAATTTCGCTTTACCTATTTCTAAATCGACCAAAATCGAATGACCTAACCATAGGTATATTAATATTTTATATTTTTAATACGGAAAAGTGGAAAATTTCCCATATTTCTTAGTCTAAAATATTTTAATCATAAACTTAATTTTTAAATTTATTTTTTAATTATTCCATTATAATTATTTAAAATTTAAATTTAATTTTTTTTAAGTTTAAATCTTTTGAACCAATTGACCAAAGCGAAAATTGACCCAAACCGATACAATTCGAATTGGTTGGTTTTCACTAATGGTCACTCGGTTTCAAGTGACCAACTCCCCAACTTGACCAAGTTGATTTGGTTGGCCAAACATCCTACAACCAAGCTGAACTAACCCATGAACACTCCTAATTTCAGCTAAATTAATAGTCTAATCTCTAATAAATAACAATAGTTTAATATATAATAATTATTGAAAATTTATAGCAAAAAATACACAATTATTGAAAATATATTGATAATGAAAATACAATAAATAATAAAAAATATGTTAAATTAGTCAATAAATAGTTTAGTCTCAAATAATAGTTTAATCTCAAATAAATATTAATCAATAAATTATAACAAAGATACAATAAATTAAATTTAAAAACTTAAATTACAGTAGTTTAATCTGTAATAATTATTGAAAATATTCTATTAAATAACAAAACAAAAATAAATTTGTACATAATTATTGAAAATATATTTATCATAAAAAACAATAAATAATTACTAAAAATACAAAAAATATTAATTTTAATATAAATAAATACATCCTGACCTTGTATTGAGAACATCTTCGGATAATGTCTTATCATCTTCTATACTTATCATAAGAAGATATTCCCAATACGAGGGCAGGATGTGCTGTGAGACATTATGGGGCGCAGATGTAAAATCATATATATGTTTTGTTAATGTGTAGCTGTAGTGATGTGTGGAGTAAGAGTGGGGAGGAGATCCCAACATCCATCAACATCGATCCTCTTTCTGAGTTTTGTAAGTTTAACTGACTTTATTTAATATTAATAGTTAATGCAGTAATACAAATTTTATATGTACGCCAAACAAGCTGCAACTAGAACTGTGAGAGCATGTGTATTTATTCCAATAATGAACGAGCCACTGGCTAGCCCAATGCAAACAAGAAACCAGCGAACACAGTTCAAATAAAGGGGCAACCAATTCAGCAGAAAAGCAACTGCTGTGGATAGCCGTTTATTATTATGTACTTTATATTTATGTTTAATATCAAGTTCATCTAAGTTGGAAAATATGTGACGAT